ACGGAGAAAACAGCTACGCAGTTACAAAAGATAATTGGACCCAGCTGGTTGTAATTAGGCTCCTCTCAAGATTGTATTTAAGAAGGGACTCGGGGATGAGTCTGATTGGCAGGATTCAACTTCATGCTTAATCCTGGAGAAGCTGTTATCTGTCTATGTCGAAGTCTGGGTTGCTGCCAAGGTTCTTATCTGCTTGTTTATGCTTGGGCTTTCAGCCACCGAAGTTTCTGTTTCTTGTTAATTAAAGTGCTGTGAAATTCCAGTTAAGCTTGTCTCGGCATTCGTTACTGGACGGAGGAGGGGGCCTGAACAATTTTCTATTATAATTCAGTGTATAATTAAGCACCTATCAGTTTGGAAGTAGAACAAGGTCACCTAAAAATAAAACACTAGTTTCTACATAATCAGAAAGTTCCTTAAGCATGCAAAACCAGAAAATTAGAAGAAAATGATTTAAAAAACTAACATTAATTTAGAAGCACCTCTAAGTTTTTATAGTATATTATCTGCGAAAGGCCATGACTGAGTGCTGCGTGCTGTACTTACATACAGTCTTTCTCTGTGTCCTTTGAGCTGTCTGTGCAGTAGAAGAATTTGCCCTTGAAAAGCTGGACTGCGATGACGGCAAAGATGAACATGAAGAGCTTGTAGACAATGAGGATGTTGAAGACATTTTTCAGAGACGTTACCACACAGTCAAAGACTGCCTGAGGGAGAATGATAAAACCATGAAGTGTGATTCATCTTAACGAAGCGAAAATACTCTTATCGAAGATGACATCAAGAGCCTCAAAGCTATAATTAGTTAAGGCATTTGTCAAATCCTTAATTGTACAAAAGGCACCTAATTCATTTGTTTATGAAACAATTTATGAGGATACCAAACAAATGAGGATAATTGGGTCCGTCATGCTATATAGCATCCTGCGTAATCGTGATTATTTCTCCACGTACTGTTTAATGCGTATCAGCTGCAACAACTATAGGATGGGAGCTCCATGTGGACATTCAGCCCTATTCTTGCTCTCTAGATCAGTCCCTCAAAAACATCACTGTGCAGGTCTGCAGGAAAGGAAAAGGCAGGCAAGGACTGGATAGCAAAAAAACAGGTGGCGCAGTGGTTAGAGTGCAGCACTGCAGGCTACTTCAGCTGACTGCAGTTCTGCAGTTCGGCGGTTCAAATCTCACCGGCTCAAGGTTGANGTTTAGTCGAGCGCGGTTTTGTGGTGGAACCGTTTTAATCAGTGTAAAAGCAACCTATAATATAATTCATTACAACATGAATCTGCACTCCTACTCTGTGTATTGATCTTGTGTTCAACACAGTAAGCTGCCAAAAATGATTTGAGATGAAACCCTGTAATGTTCTGTTCCAATACTTTTTGACCTTACAGTGATCACATTGCAGAGTGATAACAGCTAGTTTCAGACCTAACACTACATAATCCATAATTAGATAAGTAAACCGTATTTCTTATGTTGCATTACCTATGAGTCCTAGATATCATCTGCCACTTTATTGCTCAATCTCTTTGTAAAGTTCTGCAACTTTCTATGATTTGTTTTAGATTTTCACATGGATTTTGTACACTTCTATAGAAAATATTAATAGCATGTTAAACATGCTCCAGATCTAGAAGGCATCTTATTTTATTTTTTTTGTCCAGCAGCAGAAATGAGCGTTGTGTTAGTTTTGGATGACAAACAAGAGCCCTGGAGGTTTTGGCATAATTTGGGTTCCATTTTAAAATCAGTAGCTACCTTGTGAGAACAGCGGGTAAGACTACATTTCAATAATTCATGGGGCAATTTTACTAGGTGAAAGCAAATTTTTAATGAACCTGCAGTTTTAAAAGTATAATTCACAGCCAGTTGTGCTGCTATAACAAGGAAAATATTAAAGTTGGTTGGAAGCTCTCTGGATAAAAAAAAAAGCAACCTCAAAGATACCCCCACACAGCCCTTTCTTTTCTTTTCTTTAAAATAAAAGTTCAAAGTTCAAAGTTTAATGAATTTATATGCCGCCCAATCCCGAAGGACTCCGGGCAGCTTACATAAAAACAACTCAAAAAGAATACAATTTTTTAAAAAATAAACGGGAAAAGCAGGTTAAAAAAACATATCATGCACTCAACCTTAGTGGGGCTAGACCTCATTCATGAGGTCAACAGCCCCAGGCCTGCCAGAATAGCCAGGTCTTAGTAGACTTTCAGAAGGCCGAGAGAGTGGGGAGGGTCCGGATCTCAGGGGGTAGGTCGTTCCATAGGNGGGTTTCCCCAGATGTGCCAACATGGCTCTCTTCATCAACTGGAACTTTGAGGAATCCTTTGCCTCGGACTCTGATTTATTTTTGGAGGCTATTTGGAACCCTGACATCTATCTTCTCCCATTACCTGCTTGCCCTTCTTTACAAAGGAAAGGACTTCCTTGCTTGTGTCCAAATCAGTTGTGAACCTGCCAACATCTACCCCAGCTTTCCTGCCCAACCCTCAAAAGACCAGGGTGAACTTTCAACAGATCTCTCTTAAGATCTGTTTTGGAGGAAGGCGGCAGGAGGGTGGGTGGTCATCTCAAAAGTACCTTTCTCGAGCTCTGGGTGCGACGTCTCCAATTCAACGGGCTCAGCTGGGAGGACTGTGACTTTCGTCCCCGTCTGCTGGATGAACTGTTGAAGGTTGACTTGACGCAGTTCTTTTGTCAGCTGCTCCAGTTCTTGTTCCTTTTCCTGAGAAGGATAAGAAAGGGAAAAAAACGGATCAGAAGGGACCTTGGAGGCCATCCAGACCTGCCCTCTGCTCTCGCCAAAGATTATTTCTGATAGAGGGGCTGGTCCAGTCTTGTCTTTAAAAGCCTCCAATGATGGAGCACCCACAATTTTCTGAAGGCAATTTGTTCTGCTGGTTAATTATTCTCACTGTTAGAAACGATTCAACCGGATAGTTCTGAAGAATTTGGAGAGAAATGAAAATAGCTGGATTTCCAAGATAAATCAGGGACAATTTTCCATTCTTGCTCCACCCAAAACACCAGTTATTCCATGACTTTGGCAGCTGCCATCAACTGAAGGGGATCTCATTTCAACCACCTGGTTCTTTTTAGTAAACTGTAGAGTAGACCTCAACTTACAACCTTTTGGACCCGGCTCCCCAAACACGACAAACACTCTGAAGCGAACTCAAAGATTCCTTTATTAGGAATGCCGGCAGCCTTGACAAGTTTCTCTCTCACCACAGGCTAACAAGTCTGTCCGGAAGGGAGATGAATAGTTGTCTGCTACTTCTGTTCATCTCCGCCCCCTGCCTTTGATCCCCAGAGCTAGGACGGAGCTTCACTAGCAGCAGTGGTTCTTCCGTCCCGAGGACCGGCCATAGATTTCCACTGTTCTCCTCTCCTCTGCCTCCTGTGCATCTGTGTGTCAGGCACAGGACCCAGCTGTTCCTCCTCTTCCTCATCAGCCACCTCCATGCTTGCACGAGTGAGGCCACTACCGCCCACGATGCTCGCAACACTCACACAAGTGGGGCATTGAGCGCGCGAAAATCCACGCATCACCCGGCCACTCACACGTCCCGGTGGGGATTAGGCCACGGACTTGTAGTTGGCCATGGCCCACAAGTAGGGGACCCTTGGTATATATTATTATGTAAAAGTAAAAAGTTTAGGTTTGATGTTATTATTTTATTCTACCGTAGCGAAAGGAGTCAGCGCTCAATGCTTTTCTCTTTCTTTCCCCCTTTATTTTTCTTCTTTCCCGTTTCCTCCCTTATTTTCCCCCTTATCTTTATTTCTCTTTGCATTTCTCTCTTTCAATCCACTAATAAAATATTTGAAGACCAAAAAACGGATCCCACCTGTAACCGCTTGGTCGCCTGCCCGAGAGACCTCTCCACGGCTTTGAGTCCATTTTCCAGGCGGAGGCTTTGCTGCCCGTGGAGATCAAGTTCTCCTCGGACTTTCTCGATCTTCTCCCGGACTTCCTCTTCGTTGACTTGTGCCTCCTGGACTTCCCGCTGCAGCTTTTCTGCCTCCAAGCCGCTTTCCATGTGGCGGATCTTGGCCACATAGTCCCTCAGCCGGCTTTCACAGTCTGCCACCCGCTGACGGGTCTCCTGGAGCTGCTCCTTCAGCTGCTTCTCGTTCTCCTGCTCGATCTGGAGCTCGTTCTCCCAGAACTCCTCCTCCTCAATCTCCACCTCATTCCGCTTCAGCTTCTGCTCCAGCTTCAGGATCTCGTCCTCCAGGCTGAAGCTGAACTTCTGCTCCCAGTATCGGATCTCGGCCTCGTTGGAGTCCAGCTGTTTCTCCACTGACTGCAGCTTCTCTGTCTGAAGGCGGACGAGCTTCTTCAACTCGTCCGTCGTGGTCTTGCAGTGGAGGACCTTCTGCTTGAACTCGGACTCTTTGCTCTTCCCGAAAATGTCCATCAAGCCTTTGGCACCCCCAGTGAAGGTCAACGATTTCCGTTTTGGCTCCCTCCGTTTGATCGACTTGTCGTTCTGGGGCCTCAGCTTGGCCAAGGGAGGGAGGCTTTGGCGGTACAAAGTCCTTTCCGGGATCCGAGCGACGCTGTCTGAAGTCGGCCGCTCGCTAAGCGATGGGCCGGTACGTCGTAAGACGAGCTGGACGTCGCTGGCGTGTTGTCCCCATTTGTTCAAAGAAATGATCGGGTTTTCATGAGGTGCTAAATGCCTCTCCGTATCCCGCCATTTTTCAATCAGGGTGTACCTCCCCGTACGGCCTATGAAAAAAAGAAATAAGAAATAAGGACATGGACATACAGGAAGTCCTCAATTTATGACAGTTCATTTAGTGACCAAAGTTACAATGACATTGAAAAAGGTGACCATTTTTCACACTTATGGCCACTGAAGCAGCCCCATGGTTACCTGATTTACCTGACTCACATTTATGACGGTTGCAGGTTCCCAGGGTCCCGTGGTCCCCTTTTGCGTGTCCCCTTCCAACAAGCAAAGTCAACAGGGAAGCTGGATTCACTTAACAACCGTGTTACTAATTGAACCACTGCAGTGATTCACTTAACAACTGTGACAAGGAAAGTCATAAAATGGGGAAAAACCCACTTAATGAATTTCTCACTTAGCGACATAGGTTTTGGGCTCAATTGTGGCCCTACATTGAGGACTACCTGTAAGAGCACATAGTCCTCGACTTACGACAGTTCATTTAGTGACCCAAGTTACAATGGAACTGAAAAAAGTGACTTAGGGCCAGTTTTTTTACACTTAGTGACCATTGCAGCGTCCCAATGGTCACATAATCAACATTCAGATGCTTGGCAACTGACTCGTATTTATGACGGTCGCAGTGTCCCAGGGTCACGTGATCCTCTTTTGCGACCTCCCGACAAACAAAGTGAAATGGGGAAGCCTGATTCACTTAACAACCATGTTACTAACTGAACAACTGCAGGGATTCACTTAACGAATGTGGCAAGAAAGGTCGTAAAACGGAGCAAAATCCACTCAATTGTGGTTGCAAGTCGAAGGCTAACTGTCATTGCAATGGCAGGGATGAGCCAGCAGAGGGCAGAATCGCACCACAAGTGCACCAGACCCAAATTTTAAAAGTTGTTAAGACAATCAAACAATTTACTACACTGGTAAAGTAGTTTATGGCAACTTAATGGAAGCCACATTAGCACCACCACTTTGCAAGCTAACAAGCCACATCGACAAGCGTAGGGCTGAGGCATGAATATATATAAAAATAATCACTTTCTTAACATCAACAAATTACTTAATGCACTGGGAAAGCAGTTCATGATAATTTAACCCGAATCTACATTAGCGAGCTCTGCAAATTAACCAAGCCGTATTTACAAAAGCTAAATTGATGGGGCATGTATAAAATTCACTCCGTAACATTAAAACTACTGCAGTGGTAAGTATATAAGAACCAGAGTTGGAAGGGACCTTGGAGGTCTTCTAGTCCAACCCCCTGCCTAGACAGGAAACCCTACACCACTCCAGACAAATGGTTATCCAACTTCTTCTTAAAAACTTCCAGTGTTGGGGCATTCACAACTTCTGGAGGCAAGTTGCTCCACTGATCAATTGTCCTCACTGTCAGGAAATTTCTCCTTATCTTCTAGGTTGCTTCTCTCCTTGATTAGTTTCCACCCATTGCTTCTTGTCCTGCCTTCAGCTGCTTTGGAGAATAGCTTGACTCCCTCTTCTTTGGGGCAGCCCCTGAGATATTGGAAGACCGCTATCATGTCACCCCTAGTCCTTCTTTTCATTCAACTGTTCTTTATATATGTTTTAGCCTCCAGTCCCCTAATCCTCTTTCTTGCTCTCCTCTGCACTCTTTCNATCTATCTATCTATCTATCTATCTATCTATCTATCTATCTATCTATCTATCATCTATCTACCTACCTCTATCTCGATATATAGATATACAGATATATAGGTATAGATATATCACAGAGCTATTTGATAATGCATTTAATAAAATACAGCACAGAGCTATTCGATAATGGAAAATAAATCAGAATACAGGGTTGTTATGTGTAACAACAATTAAGGCCTAATTCACATTTATATAAAGCACGTTAGGAATTTTGTTCGACTCGGAGAGTCTGCAAGAGGAAAACGGAGACGGAAGTTGCCTGGGTGATTCCGTCAAGGTGCAACCTTGTGCCAGCCAGTAAACCGAACTGATCTTCTGATTGATGGAGAAAATACGCAACGTTACTCAAGGACCAATCCATTTGATAAGACAGGATGCTGGTCTATTCACGCACATGGATTATTTCCCGCTTAATGGCTGCATTTGAAGCCTTCAGCTGAGCTGCACATCGTTAAGTCCACGTGGTTTGAAGGCTAGAAAATACAAAACACTGCCCTTCCTTATGGATTGATGGTCTTCTCTCCACCCTTAAGGGCAGGGGGGGGTTCCAACTTGGCATGGCTGGCTGGGGAATTCTGGGAGTTGAAGTCCACACGCTTTAAAGTGGCCAAGTTGGACATTCCTACTTTAAACCAATGATCTATAAATATCACCCTAAAGCTGCCAGAATTCTTGTCCTTCAAAAAACAAAATAGAATGAAAGGTTTTTGTTGGCATGTTTCCATTCTCATTAAAGATGTCATGCGCAATGGCGAAGCAATTAAAAAAAAACCGTGAAGTCCTCTATTTCCCTGCCTCAGCAGGGGGTTGGACTAGAAGACCTCCAAGGTCCCTTCCAACTCTTGTTTATTCTATTCTATTCTATTCCCCACTGGGCTCATCATACCTGCACAATTCATTTTCTTGCGTATCTTTTGAAGTGGATCACTCATCGAATGCAATATCAGACTGCAGACTTCGTAATAGTTGAATGGGAAGAATTGGGGAAATCAAAAAGGAGGGCAAGGAATGAGGTAGGATGAGTTAGGCTGTACCCTAAGAAGAAAGATAATAGCTCCATAGAGCATGGTTTTCCATTATTGGAACTCCCCCCCCCTTTAATTACATCTCTTTGAGGACTTTTTTAATTTCCAAGGACTAAAGGCGGAGTAAGCGATTCAATCCACACTTTTTAGAACTTCCCGTTGCAGCTTTAAGACAATTCTGTGACTAGCTAAACTAAACTTACTCATTGAAGGCTTTGGAAGGAAATATTCAAATGTTGGCAGATGGTTAATTTCACAGCAAAGGACAGTCTTCACCGAGAACGTTGTAAGAGGCCAAGTTAAGTGTCAGTGCAACCCAACTTTTGGGATGAATTCTTTAGCTCGTGGCTTGTACTTTGCACTGGGTGAAGTAATTACCTGAATGAATGTGAAGTCAACAATGGTTGCGTTTCAACATCTCAGAGTCTGCTCCCAAGGGAACACAAAGGATCATTTTTTGGGTGGAGCAAATCTTGGCTGAAGATTCAGGCCGTCTCCATCTTAACACTTTCCAGAAACATGGGCCAACTGCTAAATTCTGGAAATTGAAACCTTATACATCTGGAGACTGCACACACTGACCCCTGCACATCTGGAGACAGCTATTACAGAGGTGCTGGGCCCACTGGAAGATGGGCAGGCGGTGGGATATCATTCAGACATCGCCAAATGCACTAGGATGCCTTCGCGGAATGGACGTTGGCGAAGGAAATTCCTTTGCCAAACCAGTTGTCCTTTGAACCTGTCCACCAACATCAACCAATATTTTTATTTTTTAGTTTCCTGGTGTCAAATCCTGTTTTTGTTGCAATTCTAGGCAAGGAGAGATTAGATTTCTCTAACGGGAGATCTGACCAGCAATATCCAGAATATTAAAAGAAAGAAAGAGGAAGGATTTACGAAGAGGTTTAAAAAAAATTTTTTTTTTTACTGGGGGAATCAAAAATTCTTGTTCGCTGAAACAAAACTTTTGACAAAGTTGTACAGACAAATACTCTGCTGGTTTTGGCTGGAATTGGGCACTGCACAAGATATGTGTATTTTGAGTTCTTTGTCTGTTTTCTCCTGTCTTGGGAAAACGGGGATTATCTTAAAATTGGAGTCACCTTGTTTTTTCAGGTAAATGTGTTATCACCCCAAAGGACACAAGATCATTTCCTTCATCACCCTATTTTCAGAAAAAAAGGGATGCAATTAATAAGGCCTGAATTCTGATTTTACAGTGCATCAAAATGAACATCTTCAAATCATTGTGAGACATTTCCATAATATTCAACAACGCAGAAACGTCCTGAAACGCTCAAAACATATTCCCGTGTTCTGTTTGACATAATGCTTCAAACGGTACAGAAATCTAACTGCTAAAATAACATGAATTGTGAACTTTATGTGCTTATTACTCCTATCGTTCTGGGACATGCATTTTTCTCCGGTAAAACCTATTCTATTATTTTGGGTAGTAATTGGGTGACGAGCTACGTTAGAAATAAATGTGCTTTTATTTAAATAAATGACCATTTTCTTCAAGAACCTTTTTTTTTGTATCATCACATTCGGGACTGAAATAATTTTGCAAAGTTATACAAATATATATATGCATATATTTTATATATATATATATGTATATATTATATACGTCTTCTTTCTATAGGCAAGGCATCAGGGTGGAGCTGTCTAACTATTTCATATCTCACGGCCTGAGCATTTTTCATCCATTTTTATGTACACCTGAAACCAATCTGGACTGATGGAAAAAACTGGTTTTGCAAAGATAAAATAAAATAAAATAAAATAGGGTGTTATGCGGTTGGCCAACTACCATACACAAGTGTTTTTGGCTCAACAAATTGTAAGTGGCACAAATCCACATTATAATGGATGGTTGTGTCTTTCATGGCTATAATACAAGAACACTGTAGTGGTAAAAATCATCGTCATCATCATAAAAATAAAAATAAACGGTGAGAAATTCCTTTGGCAAGACACTGGACTGAAGATAGAGCATTTTGTTCCTTGATAGGCGTATCCATTATGGCAAAATATCTCAAATATAAACGTCGCTATCATAAAACGCTAACTAGGAGATCGTCAAATGCTAATTGTAATCCTTACACTGTGGAGTTTCGGGCCTGAGGACATTCCAGTGGGAAAATCCATCGGCTGTTAAAAAAAAGGGGAGGAAAACAATATATCCCACAACGGCTGTAACACAAGAAAACCACAACACTTTTTTTTTCTTTTAAGCTTCATTGTGGCTTTTTCTGGGGGGGCAAAACACATTGTTTTGATTATCACAATTCATTCATACCTCTGCAGATTCTTTCTTTCTCTCTCTCTCTCTCTCTCCCTCTCTCTCTTACGCACCTACACACATACACAAACACATTTTTCACACTGCGGCATGGCATCGTCATGGGCAAAACCCAAGTTCTACCTGACCTAAAATGGGACTTTATCCAACTTTTTGTCTTTCAACTCTCTTTCAAAAGGCAAATGGTCATCGGCCATCTTACAGGAGTAGACATCCCTAGCACAACCAATTATGAAACATACTAAAGCTTGCAACCTAGTAGTAGCTGGGGGATAGTGTATGTTTGCTTTCTTTTCGCTTCTCCCTCACTCCGAGTTGCACTTTCATTCCCACATCCCCAACTAGCGACAGGTTGGGGAAGATCTGCAACACACGGTGTAAGTGATCAAATTATCAACACACGGTGTAAATGATGCTACAGAAGAGTGAAGAAGGACACGCTTAATTCAAAATGGCGTCTTTTAGCAACAGCCATGGATGGAAGAGTAATGCAGGCCTACTCTAAAGCAAGGCCTGTGACTAGAAACTGTATGCCCGCATTCAGACGTCATAAATGAATCCCTAACAATCCAACGACATAGTAGAGTTGGAGAAACGGTGGCTCTTGGATGACGTGTGGACTTCAACTCCCAGAATTCCCGACACAGCCACGAGGGACTTCAACTCCCAGGATTCCTAAGACAGCGATGCTGGCTCGGGAATCCTGGGAGTTGAAGTCCACACGTCATTAAAAGGGCCAGCGTTTTCCCACATACAACTGGCATAGAGAGTGAGCATTTTTGGTGGGGGGGTCAGCCACGGATGCCTGCTAAGAAATATTTATGCTTCAGAAATAGCAATAATAATATTTAAAACAAAAGAAAAGAAAACAAAGAAAGCTATTTTGACATGGCTTGGTTCGGGCCGCAATGGCCTCCACCGCCGAGTTTCTGTTCTCCGTCGTATAATCAGCGCCCGGCGCAAGAGTTCCACGTTGTGTCGCCGATCGGATTAAAAAAAGGGCAATGAAATGCCCCCGCGAGTTTTCAAATGCCAGAGTTGGTGGTTCGTCTTCTTCCGCCACAGGTCCCCGGGAGAAGAAACTCACCAGGAGGAACCGGGCTGAGGTCCTTGGTTATCTTCAAAGGTCCCGTCGAGAAGAAGAACCTGTGGGCTGTTATACGTAAATGCCCTCGGGGTTAAAACCAGACGAGAGCGGGTTCTGCAAAATCCGAAGATTACTGGGAAGTTGCCTTGAGGAACTCGGGCGTTTGAGGGAGCTGGTTTGAAACACGGATTCTGTGGGAGGAGAACTAAGTTAGTACGAAAGTCTTCGGACACAGTTACCTTTAACAGGTTCTGCCTGAAGGTGGATTTCATCTTTTAAATAATATTATTTATTAAATGTTCAACATTTAAAAGACAAAACACATAAAACAAATCTACACTTGTAACAGATTTTCCATATGGGCATCCATATTTTCCGTAACAATCCTATTTACAAAAAATTCTATTTCTATATCATTATCCTAAGTTATATCCTTATTTAGATACTCTCGATACATTTATATATTTACTTTATGCATTAAGTTTGGCATTTACTCTCAAGCCAGGAATACCATCTATTCCAAATTCGATAGCACTCTGTTGCTTCCTTCTCCTTCATTTCCATAGACAGCCTATCCATTTCTGCACATTCATAGATTTTCCTTCTTAGATTCGATCTCTGTTTGTTCCCAGTTCTGTGCCAGTACGGTCATCCTTTGTCTCTGCACCTCTGCACCTGAGCGGATGGGAGGAACTGCCAGCATGGCAGTGGGAGATTGGACCATGGGATAGCCTTGTGGGTGTGTGGGCAAGATCTTGAACTTTCAACTGGGTGGGGAAANTAGCCTGGCTAACGAAACATCTGCAAACTCAAGAGGCCACCAAGTTCCTGGGCAGGTTGTGGGGGGGGAGGGGGCTCTGGCCGGAGGAATCTGACCAGGCCGTGCGAAGCTTTCCTCCTGAAACCTTTGGGCTTGCTTCTGGCAGGAGACCGGTCCCTGAAGTCCCCCCCGCAGTCCGCAGACCTGGAGGCCTTCCACTCGGGCTTCCAGATGTGCACCAAAGAAGTCCTGCGCTACCTCTCCCCACCCGAAAGATGGACCAGTCGGGAGCCACGTTGCGCCCAGCTGCTCGGCCACCTCCACTCCATGTGCAGGAGGTTCCTGCCCGGATCGCCTCTCTTCACCCCCAGGGCCCAAGGACGATGCTGCTCCCCCCAGGATGGACCACAGCAGCTGCCGCCGGACCAGCGTCCCGGGGGGACCCTCAAGCAGGAGCCTCCCCAGCCCAACTGCGTGCCCGTCATTCAGAGGACCCAAAACTGGGGAAGGGGCGCGGCCACCCACCAGCTGCCCCCCAGCGGCCCGGAGCAAGCCGGGGAGCCCGACACCGATACAGACAGCGGCTACGGAGGGGAGGGCGAGGGGAAGAAGACCCCCCAAGGGGGCTTGAGGGTCAAGAGGGAGCCCGCGGGTGACGGGGAGGAGGGGGAAGCCCCCAAGGGGGGCAAAAGGCGCAGGGTGGACAACTGTGCGGGGCAAGGGGCTGGGGTCGTGGGGAGGCCGGAGGCGGCCCTTCTGAACCCCCTGGTGGCTTTGGGTTTGGGGGCTACTGGGGGTCTGGGCGGGTCTCTCTTGGGCCAAGCAGCCCCTGCTGCTCCCTTCTGCCTGCCTTTCTACTTCGTGGCCCCATCGGCGGCTTACCTGCAGCCTTTCCTGGAGAAGGCGCTCTGCCCCGCCGGGGGGGCTGTGGGACCCTTCCCCTTTATCCACCCAGGGAGTCCCATCCAAGGGGCCGCCGCTGCTTTGCCTTCCTTCGCCGTGGCTGCCCCTGCTGAGAAAGGGAGATCGCTTCCAGGGGCAGCCTCCCGCTTTCCCAGGGAGGGAGCCCCCCGCTGCTCAGACCCCTCCCTGGCTTTCTTGCCCCCTTCCCCCTCGCAAGCCGGCCGGGCTAAACTCAAAGGTGGATCTGAGCCCTTTCCCGAAGCTCGATCTGCAGTCCGGCCGGGAGAAGGGACAGATTAACAGAACGAGTTGGAAGGGACCCTGAAGGTCATCTAGTCCAACCCCGCCCTGCCCAAGCAGGAGACCCTACATCTGCCTCTACCTAGGACCGAACTCACAACTCCTGATTGGGAGGCAAGGGCTCCACCTTTAACTTTGCAACGGGAGCGTCTTGGGCCCAGCATTTAATCCCTCCCCCGCAGAGAAATTAGGGAGAGAAAAAGAAGAAAGGAAGAAAGGAAGGAAAAGAAAGAAAGAAAGAAAGAAAGAAGAAAAAGAGAGAAAGAAGGAAGGAAGGAAGGAAGGAAGGAAGGAGGAGGAAAAAGAAGGAAAAGAAAGAAAGAAGGAAGAGAGAAAGAAGGAAGGAGGAAGGAGGGAGGAAAAAGGAAGGGAAAGAAAGAAAGAGCGAGAGAGGGAGAGAGAAAGAGAGAAAAAGAAGAAAGAAGGGAAGGAAGGAAGGGAAGAAGAAAGAAAGAAAAAGAAAGGAAGAGAAAGAAAGAAAGAAAGAAAGAAAGAAGAAGAAAGAAGGAAGGAAGGAGGGGGAGGAAAAAGAAGGAAGGGAAGAAGAAAGAGAAAGAGAAAGAAAAAAAGAAAAAAGAAAGAAGGAAGGAGGGAGGAAAAAGGAAGGAAAAGAAAGAAGGAGAGAGAGAAAAACAAGAAAGAAGGGAAGGAAGGAAGGGAAGAAAGAAAAAGAAAGAAAGAGAAAGAAAAAAGAAAGAAAGAAAGAAAGAAAGAAAGAAAGAAAGAAAGAAAGAAAGAAAGAAAGAAAGAAAGAAAAAAAAAAAAAAGCATGTTTGGGACACCCCTGACCTGTATGAAAGAGGATCTCCATAGACATGAAATGATATGTGTGAATGACCTTGGGATATGAAGCAAAATCTGCTGAAGGATTGATTAGATAAGAGACCACTCAGCCCACAGCTACCTAATGGGTCAGGGAAAGAGCGTCAACAGGGAACCATCCTAATTTCTCAGGCTGCAAAGGAGAGTTTGGGAACTTTTTTACTGTCAGACCTTGTTCAAGAAGCCGTACAATAAGGTGAAATTAGCTCATCTGCCTGTGTTTCCTGTGTGGTCTGTCCTGTAAGGCCGACAGGAACCAACCTTCTCCCCTGAGGCCTGATGCAAACGATCGATCGGAAGCTTCAGCAAAAATTCTTGCGCGGGATTATAAGGCACTTCTGAGAAGCAATCAAGTGTGAGCAGCTTTGCACGTTGGTGGAGAACAGGAAGAGAAGAGAGAGGAAGTAATAATTAACACGTGCACTAGCACTTTACTGAGGCATACAGGCCATATACATGGTTCAAACTTATGTCTGGTTTCACCAGACGTGGAGTTGGAGGTCAAAAAAGTCAAAATGGCCCCTGCAATCATGGAAGCCAAGACCCCTTCCGACCAGCCCTTCCCCACCTTGTTATTGTGGCATTCAAGCAATGTAAGAATTGTGTTTGTGCTTGTGGCCTAGTGCATGCACTCCCACCCTTACACACTAACACAATTGCTTCGGCCCCGTTGCTTGGAGACCTCCTCGATTTCAAATTCCCTTGATGTGTGAGACAGGATTATGATTAAACCAAAAACCTAGGGACCTCCCCATTTAAAGTTCGAATTTATGAATGTTTACTCAGAAATAAATTATCTTAGCACCTTTGGTGAGAAGTTGACCTCCAGAGAAGCATAGTGATGATGGAGGCTGAATCTAATAACCTTTCGTAAGGTTGTGAGTAGCAGTGGTTTGCCAACTTGTTCCCTTTCACTGATGGGGTTACCTAGTTGGGTCATGAAACGTCTGCAAGAAAACCACCAAGCTCAGAGACCACCAAGGACCCCCTCATTTCAACCCTGAGCTACAAATATTCTTTTCCTCTTTTCTTAAAAACCTCCAGCAATGAAGGACCGTTCCACTGATTAAATTGTCTCCACTGTTAGGAAGTTTCTCTTTAATAATATTAATAATAATACGGTACTATAATAATAATAATAATCAGAATAGAGCTGGAGGGGACCTTGGAGGCCTTCTGGTCCAACCCCCTGCTCAAGCAGAAGATCCTTGACCATTTCAGACAAGGAGCTGCCCAACCTCTTCTTGAAAACCTCCAATGATGGAGCATTCACGACTTCTGGTGGCAAGCTGTTCCACTGGATATTTGTCCTCATTGCTAGGAAGTTTCTCCTCAATTCCAAGTTGCTTCTCTCCTTGATAGGTTCCTATTCATTGCTTCCTTCGGGATTGGGTGGCATATAAATTCAATAAATTCAATCCAATAAATCCAATTCAAATTCAATTCCTGACCTGCTTTCAGGTGGCCTGGAGAATAAATTGGCCTCCTCCTCCTCTTTCTGGCAGCCCTTCAAATACTGGAAGACTGCTATCATCTCCCCGTAGTCCTTCTTTTCTTTAGACTGCCCAAATCCAAATCCTGCAAATGTTTTTATCTCCAGGCCTTTAACCATCTTAGTTGCTCTTCTCTGCACTTTTTCCAAAGCCTCAACCTTTTTTTGTGTGTAATTGCGGGGACCAAAACTGGATGCATTATTCCAGCTATCGTCAATATCAGTGATGGGATTCAGCCGGTTCGCACCTATTCGGGAGAACCGGTTCGTAACTTTCTAAGCAGTTCGGAGAACCGGTTGTTGGAAGAAATCTTATTTTATTTCCCCCCTCCCCCACTTTACAGGGCTAATCCTGTAAGGAAGGCAGGAAGGAAACATTCTGGTGTTGTTTNGGGGGGGGCATGCAGAGTTTGTAGAATGTTCCTGGTGGCTGGGGTGGGGGACGAGCAAAAAATGGCATGTTTTTTGCAGAAATTGGCCTTTTTTTAAAAAAGGGGGGGGTATGTAGAGGGTTTGGGAGGCTTGTAAAGTCCTCCAGGGGGCTGGGGGGGCAAAAACAAGGAAAAGTGGCCCATTTTATGCTCATTTCTGCCCTCCCCAACCCCAAGGAGCACTTTGCAAGCCTCCCAAACCCTCTGCACCTCCATTTTTGCAAAGGGGTGGGGTTTCAGGAGGCCAAAAATGCTGTATTCAGTGTATAAGATGCACCCAGATTTTCGCCCTCTTTTTTAGGGGGAAAAGGTGCGTCTTATACTCTGAAAAATATGGTAGATTTCTGCGGAAAAAAACACTCCTGCAATTAAGAAGAATTATTATTTTCCAGCTAATGAGGACTCCGGTCTCCTTCATCAGAACAGAGAAGACTTGGGGGTTACGTCCAGGATACAAGGAACAACCTTCAAATCTTCCAGGCCTTGTAATTTGTCAAATGTTTATCTCAGTATTCCAAGAATGTGGGAGCAAAAACATTTCGAATTCAGAACTAGACAAGATCACGAGAGAGACGGTGTTGAATCCAAAACAGGGCTTCCCACCCCAGGGAGCCTTGATGTTATTCTGAGCTCAACGCAACTCCGCACTGACTTAGAAGTAGGGCTGTCCAAGATCAAAACGGTTCAAAATTCAAAATGTTTTTCTCTCTCCCGTGAAGCTTGGGGATTGATCTTACGACAGTTGTCCAATTAAAAAAAGAAAAACATAATTAGAGGCGGGGTAATGTTCTGTTCCTAGAAAGTGTCTCGATAAGGTTGACTGACTCAGCCTTCCGTCCTTCCGAGGTGGGTAAAATAATGGGGGACCCAGGTTGTTGGGGGGGCAAAATGCTGACATTGTAAACTGCTTAGAGAGGGCTGTAAAAGCACTGAGAACTGGTATTTAAGTGTTATTCCTTCCTCCCTCACTCCCTTCCTTCCTTCCCTCGTTCCTTCCTTCCTTCCCTTTCTCAATATCCTTTCTGGTGGCATAGTGGTTAAAATGCAGTATTGCAGGCTAATTCTGCCCACTGCCAGGGTTTCGATCCTGACCGGCTCAAGGCTGACTTCGTTCTCCACCCTTCGGTGAGTAAAACGAGGACCCAGATTGTTGGGGGCAATAGGCTGACATTGTAAACCGCTTAGAGAGGGCTATAAAAGCCTTGTGAAGTGGTATATAAGTCTAAGTGCTACTGTTATCCCTCCCTCCCTTCCTTTCACAGTGGTTAGAATGCAGTATTGCAGGTTAAACTCTGCCCACTG